TACCTGCTGGCCCCATCCTGTTAGCTTTTACTTTACTTATTCTTTAACCTCTTTCTTCATATTTCATTGAATTATGCTATTCAATCCTGATTAGGAGAGACTTTGGAAATTAAAGCATTTTGTCTCCCCATCATCCAATCCTAAGAAACAGAAGGTAGTTCTCCATCATTTTCAAAAGTCACAAGAAGACCAGCAAATGTTGAAATGGTTATGTTGCTGGACTCCCATATAGTTGACTGTGGTTCGAGTCCCAGACTTGGGGCCTTAAAATTCACACTGGGCACGTGCACACATGTGTGTGTGAGATCCCGAGAGGAGAATGGAGGAGAAGGAATTGTGGCATGACCATGCCCCTGGGGAGTGACTTCTTGCTTTCTGTCTCTCTCTCTGTCTCTCCAGCAAGTGCACGTGCCCTATAGCCAAAATTTCTCTCTCAAAAAAAAAGAGAGGTCACAGGTTCTATCTTCAGCATTAACTGGATATTAGGAATCACTGAGCAGAGGGCATGTGGAAAGCAGTAGGGTACAAGTTATTTAACTCTTTTAATCTAAGCCTCATGGAGACCAGAGATACTTGGGATTTTCGGATTTGAATATTGTCTCTAAAATGCTACTGTTCACCTTCATTTCCCTCTTCCCTTGCCTTTTCTTTTTAAACTAGAAACTAGAACAAAAAAGACTACTCTGTTATCTCTTTAATGTAATATCTTTCGAAAGAAAAGAGGTAACTTTCAATGTGTGATTGGCATGGATTCAGCTTATAGTGAGGATGCAGGAGGAGCAGGGTCCACTGCCTCGACTGTTGTCTTTGCAAACTCTTTGAAGTAGCATTTTCCCGCTCAGAATCACTTTGGCACTGCAGGCTCCCGTAGTTTGGTCCCATTAGTCATGCACTTTAATCCAGACATTGTGTGGATTTTAGAGTCAGGAGGAGTCCCAGTTCAGACTGTTACAGAGCTTCATGTGCTTGGTCAAGTCAGCTATCTGCTGTGTCTTGATTTCATCATGAGAGCAGAGAGCGGTAAGTACCATCCATTGCCAGGCACCCTGCAAGCCGCTCTCTCTTCTTTCTTTCTGTATGAGTATAAAACTTATAGAATATTTTTATATACAAGGAATCTTCCAAAAGTTCATGGAAATGTCAGTCCCATGGCCTACTGGTTAAAGGAGCCAGACCCCACCTGGCCGACCTTGTAGTTCAAATCCTCATCCCGGTGGCTTGAAAAATACACTGGACATGTGTGTGTATGTGTGTGCGCATGTGCCCGAACTCCTGATAGGATGGAGAAATGGAGAAAGGATTGTGATGTGACCATGTCCCAAAGAGGGGGTGCTTGCTCTCTCTCTGTTGCACGCTCTCTCTCTCAGGGAAGTGCACATCCCCTCTGGCAAGGAAAAAAACAAAACGAAACAGAAAGTTCATGGAAAATGTGTATTTTATGGGGAAAAAACCCCATGCATAGTTTTCTAATTTTTGCCCCTAAATAAACTCATACTTTGATTCCATTTTTACATGAACTTTTGTATTCCCCTGTTATATCCTGTCTTCCCCCTCTATATGACTATATATAAATGCTTATTAAATCCTTGAAACAACCCTGTAAAGAATAGATGCTACCCATTTTATACATGAGGAAGAAGGCCCTGTGAAATAAGTAACAAATTCCAGTTCAGACAGTTTGTGTTGGTAGAGTTGGGATTTGAACCAGGTTTGTCAAACTCCAGAGCCTGTGTTTAGCTGTTGGACTGAATTGTCTTGGTTCTGTATCCTACGACAAAGAGTTGTGGTGAAAATTAGAAGCTCCAGTGCATGCAAGAGCCTAGCACGGTGCATGTGCCCTGGCTAGCACAGTGGAGAAGTTTGGACACATGTTGTAGCACAGTGTGAGGGACACAGGAGTAGGTGTTTCTCCTTGCAAGCTCAGAACCCGCTGTTTGATTCTGTCGGTACTAACCAGCATTGTGGTCTCTTGAGTCTTGTTTCCTCCTTTGTAACCTTAAAAAAAGAAAAGGAGGTGATAGTATCTTGATTGCAGAACTGTTATGCAACTTAAATGAGATACTATGTAAATTATATTTCCCCTTTGACCTCCATCCCCAGATTTCTGTGATTTGGGGGAGGCACCCATAGACTATAAATGAATTTGAGGTTATAAAAACCCATGTGCGTTAAGTTCTGTCTTTTTTTTTTTTTTGGAGAGATTTTCACTGTAGGGCGCGTACGCTCGCCAGACAGACAGAGAGAGACATAGAGACAGAAAGCGAGAAATCACCCCCCAGGGGGGATGGCCACGCTGCAGTCCCTTCTCCTCCATTCTCCTCTCGGGATCTTGGGCACGCACGCACACGCGCCCGGCATGAGTTTTAAGCCACCGGGTCCGGGACACGAACCGCGGTCAACTACGTGGGAGTCCAGCGACATAGCCATTACGCTAACTGCTGGTTCCCAAGTTCTGTCTTTTTCATCTGCTACTTGCATGCTAATTCCATGGCACATCGTCTCTGTGAGCTTGGTTTCTTTTACTTGTAAGGTGGATCTTCAAATACCCACTCTGCAGGGTAGAAAGAACAAGACACTGTAGTACTGTGCCTCCCACTACCACCTTTTCCTTATTTCTCCCACATCTGCCCGTTCTTCAAGGCCCATCTGAAGTCAGAAGAATCAAAATCAAGGGGCCAGCAGGGGGCATGGTGGTTAAGCTGCTAGACTTTCACTTGGCTGGCCACTGTTTGAGTTCTGGACCTGACAGCTTGAAAATCACCCCAGGAGTGAGTACATGCATGCCCAAATCCCAGAAGCAGAATGGAGGAGAAAGGATTGTGGCGTCCTCCTGGAGGATGACTTCTCACTTTCCCTCTCTCTGTCTCTTTGGCGAGTGCATGCACCCTATGACAAAAGCATGAAAAAAAAAAAAGAAGAATTATTGAAATCAAAACCACCACCATCTCTGGGACCAGCAGTTGGCGTAATGGCTATGTTGCTGGACTCCCATGTCGTCGACCATGGTTCACGTCCCAGACCCGGTGGCTTAAACCTCACGCCGGGCGCGTGTGCGTGCGTGCCCAAGATCCCGAGAGGAGAATGGAGGAGAAGGGATTGCGGTGTGGCCATCCCCCCTGGGGGGTGATTTCTCTCTTTCTGTCTCTATGTCTCTCTCTGTCTGGCGAGCACACGCGCCCTATAGCAAAAAAATCTCTCCTAAAAAAACAAACCAAACCAAAACAAACCACCACTGTCTCCAGGAGGCCTTTCTTAATGACTGAGCCCCAGCCTACACCAGCCAAACCATTATTCCAAACTCTGGTTGTACTTAGGTCTCTATCTAAAGACATTGGAAGTCACTCTATAGGTAAAACAATAGCAATTGTAAATTTTTTAAAGAGGTTTTTGCCTCAGGGCATGTGTACTTATAGAAGAGAGTGTGAGACAGAGACAGTGAGAAGGAAAGTGAGAAATCAGTCCCCTGGGAGGATAGATGTTAGGCAGGAGGCCTGGGCAGCTTGGATGTGGAGGTTGGACACCAAGCCACAGTCAGCTGATGCTACTGGGACCTAGTCTGTTATCAGACCTGCACTGCACTCACATCTAACCCGGATATAGCACACGGGGCTCTACTATCTATGTACACGGGCTCTACTCTGCACACGGGGCTCTACTCTGCACATGGGGCTCTACTCTACACATGACACCAGACCTTATGTGACACACTAGTCGCTTTCGCCCTAAGCCTTTACCATACATGGCCTCTTTCTACCTCTAAGACACTCCCCCTCCCTAGTCTCTTACGAAATCGCTAAACCTCGCCCTGGGGTGCGACTTCTCTGGCCCCCTCTCTCTTTCTCTGTGGGACTGGCAAACCTCGCCCAGGAACATTCCCAATAAAGGCTCTACATATCTTTTCTTTTTTTCTTTTTTTTTTGGAGAGGTTTTTGCTATAGGGCATGTGTGCTCACCAGACAGAGAGTGGCAGAGAGACAGAAAGCAAGAAATCACTCCCCAGGGGGATGGCCATTCCGTAATCCCTTCTCCTCCATTCTCCTCTTGGGATCTTGGGCATGCAAGCACACGTGCCCAGCGTGAGTTTTAAGCCACTGGGTCTGGGACTCGAACTGTGGTCGACTGTGACCAGAGAGAATCACAGAGACAGAGAAGTGGAAAGTGAGAAAGTAAGCCGCCAAGTCCAGGATTCAAACCATGGTTGGCCGTTTGGGAATGTCCAGTGCCTTAACCACCACAACACCTGCTGGTCCCCTCAACATATCTATTTTCTCGTGTGGTCGGCCCATTCCTTACAATGGCCACGTGGCAATCCCTTCTCCATTCTCCTTCTAGAATCTTGGGCACACATGCATATGCACCCTGTGTGATTTTCAAGTCCCCGGGTCTGGGACGTGAACTGTGGTTGGCCATGTGGGACTCCAGTGATGTAACTGCTATGCCATCTGCTTGCCCTGGTAAATTTTTTTGTTTTAGTTAGATGGTAAAAATGTTAAAACAAGAATGGAATTTATTAAATAAGTTTTAAAATTTCTACATTTTTTTAGCCTCAAAGATTTAAGGCTGATGATGTTAAAGCTGCCTCATAGGAGAAATTATATGGTGGGGCAAAAATGAATCTTTTTTTTTTTTAAAATTTATATATTTAATTTTGTTTGTTATTATTACTTTTTAATTTGAAGAGAGAAAGGGAGAGAGAGAGAGTGAGAAAGTGAGAAAGCAAGCCACCAGGTCCATAGGGACTCAAATCGTGGTTAGCCATGTGGGTATCTAGCACCTTAACCACCATGCCACCTGCCAGCCCTGAATCTTTTCTTTTTTAAAACTGGAAAATAGAATTTTCCCAAATCTCTGGAAATAACTAGAAGCGTCTGGAGAGGTATCTCAGATTCCCAGCTTTGGACACATTTTGCCTATGAATATTTTTAGTTACATGTTATATAATAAATCATCCTTCTGGGCTTAGTTCTATGTAACTCTCTGTTTTCTATTTTCTATTTCAGATGGAGCAGATTAAAAGGGCCAATAAACTGTTTACCAATGACTGTATATTTCTGAAGAAAACTTTGAGCATCCCTGTTATATCAGAGAAGCCTTTGTTGTTTAATGGGCTGAACTCCATTGAGTCTCCAGAAAATGAAACTGTTGATAGCAGTTTTTCTCAGGAAGAGGAGCCTGTACTGGCTGAGGAAAAACTCTCTCCTCCCAGTCCGCAAGAATCTGACATTAAGCCCGTGAAGCTTGAAGAAGTGTCAGCCAGAGATTTCCTACAGAGACTCGACCTGCAAATTAAGTTATCAACTCAGGCAGCCAAGAAACTAAAAGAAGAAAGCAGGTAAAAACACCCCGATGTAACTGTCAGAGGCTGGATAAAGTCCTCTCAAGATGACCTTGCTTTGCCAAATCTTTCTTTTCTTCTTTTTGCTTTAAAACATTTATCTTAGTTTTTAGAAAACGAGAAAGTTTTAGGTTTTTTTAGTTTTGTTATTGTTAGAGGGTGTGTGAGCTCTCCAGAGAGAGACAGTGAAAGAGGGGAGGCAAAAGCACCCCGTAAGTGGCAAGGTCACACTGCAATTCCGTCTCCTCCATTTCCCCCTCCTTTGAGGACTTTGGGAGTGTATATATATACATCCCAGCATGTTTCTCAAGCCATAGGATCCTGGTCTTGAACTGTGGCCAGCCATGTGGGATCTGGCTGCCTTAACCACTAGGCAATGGTACCAGCCTTATTTTAATTTTTAGAATTTTAGAAAGGCATTTGTAATATATGAACTCTTTTTTAAAAGGATTATTTATTTTAATTTAACTAGAGAAACAGAGAGAGGGAAAGTGAGAAAGCAAACCGCCAGGTGTGGGACTTGAACTGTGGTCCACCATGTGGGAGTCAGCAACCCTTCTATCATGCCACCTGCTGGCCCCTATATGAAATATTAACAGAGCTATTGCATGCTGCACATAGGCCTTAACTGTCACAGTGCTTTTTGTCTCTGTTATTTATTACAGAAAGCTTGGTGGTTTACCTTAATAGCATCACTGTCCAGCTAGCAAGTCTAGATAGCTGCTAAGTAGAAGCATCTCATTGACACCTTCAAGGAAAGCAGTGCCCTTGACACCTTCAAGGAAAGCAGTGCCCTCAAATACTGATCCTTGTAACAATTTACTGGGCCTGGGACCAGCAGTTAGCGTAATGGCTATGTCTCTGGACTCCCATGTAGTCAACCGTGGTTCAAGTCCTGGATCCGGTGGCTGACTCACACTGGGTGCGTGTGTGTGCGTGCCCAAGATCCCGAGAGGAGAATGGAGAAGGGATTGCAGTGTGGCCATCCCCCCTGGGGGGGTGATTTTTCGCTTTCTGTCTCTGTCTGTCTCTGTCTTTCTGGCTAGTGCAGCGCCCCTATAGCAAAAACCTCCCTAAAAAAAAAAAAAAAATTTACTGGGCCGGCAGGTGGTGTGGTAGTTAAAGGCACTGGACTCTCACGTGATCAACTACAGTTCAAATCCTGGATGTGGCAGCTTGCTTTCTCACTTTCCCTCTCTCTCTCTCTGTCCGTCTCTCCCTGGTCAAATTAAATAATAAAGTTAAATAAAACAATTCTTTTAAAAAATTATCAAAGACATTGTCCATTATTTGTTCCTGGGTGTTTCCTATAGAAGATCTCATGTGAGTGTTTTTCTTTGTGTTTAATTTGGTGCTCGGACAAACTTATTTCTATCCTATTGAATTGGTTTCTTTCTTCCTTTATGATTTCAAGAAGGCAAACCTACAGTATTTCCCTTTTGCCCTGGCTACTGGGATGCTTACAACTAAAATGGATGCCCAGGTTTAACCACTGGAATATTTCTTTTATTTTTTTTTTTAAGAATTATTTAATTTTATTTATTCATTCATTATTTAAATTTTACCAGAGAAAGAGAAGGGGAAAGTGATAAAGCAAGCCACCAGGTCTGGGGCTTGAACCATGGTTGGCCATGTGGGAGTGTCCAATGCCTTAACCACCATGCCCCTTGCTGGTCCCTTACTATTGTATTTCTTATGTTTAATATATTGGTTTCCTTCTCCTTTCCTTAATACAGAATTTTTTTAAAGGGATTTTTGCTATAGGGCACATGTACTCACTAGAAAGACAGAGAGAGAGAAAGAAAATGAGAAATCACCCCTCAGGAGGATGGCCACACTGCCGTTCCTTTTCTTCCATTCTCCTCTCAGATTTTGGGCACACATGCACATGCACCCAGCATGAGTTTCAAGCTGCCTTGTCTAGGACTCGAACTGTGGTCAGCCATATGGGAGTGCAGCACCTCAACCACTATGCCACTTGCCTGCCCCTTAATACTGATTTTTAATTTGTATTTTATTCATCGTGTTATATGTGTGCCCTTTGTTGTAGGTATCTCAAATCTTTTTTGGGGGGGAGAGGTTTTTGCTATAGGGTGCATGCGCATGCCAGAAAGCCAGAGACAAGGACAGAAAGCGAGAACTCACCCCCCAGGGGGGATGGTCACGCCGCAACCCCTTCTCCATTCTCCTCTAGGGATCTTGGGCACGCACGCACACGTGCCCGGCGTGAGTTTAAGCCACCGAGTCCAGGACTGAAACCACGGTTGACTCCATGGAGTCCAGTGACATAGCCATTACGCCAACTGCTGGTCTCAAGTTTTAGTCTTTTGAATACTGTTTTAAATACTGATTTCCGCTGTATTTCTTTTTTCCCAGAGATGAAGAAAGCCCCTATGCAACCTCCCTCTACCACAGCTAAGTACTTAGGAGACAGAACTCTAACCTGGATTAAGGGATCGTTGGACCTACAGATTCCAGCCACTGGAGACTCAAAAGCCTCCCTTTTGGATTCTCCTAGCGAGCAGCTTAAAATCACGAGCAAGTAGCCTCACCTGCGGCAGTCGCGCTGAAGCGATTCGTTCCCTCTGGCTTTCTGTGATGTGAAGTCTTCATTAGGCATGACAGCAAAACTGTGTCCTGCAGCCCCGCACTTTTGTAGGTGGTGGTAGTTTTTTAGACTCGCTTTTGTAAATACTGATTGGCAGGAAGCATCAAAGACTACTGATCTAATTAAGCTTAAAGCAACGTTTATCTCCTGATAAAATCCTGCTCATGTGGAACGTGTGGTTGCCGTTTTAGTGATGCTGAATTTGCTGTGTTTATAAAGTAAACGCTATAGACATATATATTTCGAAATGTAGTACACATTCTGTATTAATATAAAGAACTGAATTTTTGTTTGCTATTTTGTAAAAATAAACTGCAAAAGTCTGAATGAGAAAATAAACTATGTTTTCATATTTGTGTGTTCATGTTTTTCAACAAATGGGAAAATAAAAATGGGTTTTTAAATTATATGTTTGAAATAGTGACAGCTTCCCCACTTCATGGTTTTCGTTATTATAAATAAAATTTCAGGAAAGTTTCATTAATCTAAAAAACAATCAATTACAATACTAGTCATCTGAATTTTCAGCGACCTAATATTATTCAGATATAGTAAAAAAAAGCAAAACAATATGATCGGGACCAGCGGTCAGCGTAATGGTTATGTGATGGAACTCTCATGTAGTCAACCGTGGTTCCAGTCCCGGACCCGGTGGCTTAAACTCACGCCGGGTGCGTGTGCGTGTGTGTCCAAGATCCTGAGAGGAGAATGGAGGAGAAGGGATTGCGGCATGGCCATCCCCCCTGGGGGGTGATTTCTCGCTTTCTGTCTCTATGTCTCTCTCTTCCTGACGAGTGCACACGTCCTATAGCAAAAACCTCTCTCAAAACCAAAAACACAATATGATCAAAAGAACAAATAAACAATAGCATAATCTGACACACTGCTGAATTCTAGTTTAGATTTCATTGTTGAGTCACTGTGTGGAGTATATTGTAGTCACTGTGCTCATTTGAATTGAGAGCTGGGTTTTTATATAATTTGTCTTACCTTTATTTTATACATATAGGTTAAGTGGAAAACTAATTAATATATGACTTACAATTAATTTCTTTGTCTCAATTTCTATTCAGCTATCAGATTAAATCATCCTTAGGCTCTCAAAAATTTCTTGTGAAATCTCCCCAACACTCCCCCCAAAACTCTGCTATCTATCCAACAAAATGGACTTTTTAGTTTGTGCTACAGGGCGCATGCACTTACCAGAAAGAGACAGAGGCAGGGCAGGGGGTGGTGAGAAATCACTTTCCAGAGGGGATGGCCACAGCACAGTCCCTTCTTCATTCTCTAGGAATTTTGGGCACACATGTACACATGCCCGGTGTGATTTTTTAAGCCACCTGGTTCAGGATTCGAAAAACACGATCAGCCATGTGGAATCCAGCCACCTTAATCTCCATGCCACCTGCTGGCCCCAAAGAGGACTTATTTATTCCTCTTTTTGTTCTCCCTTTTTTCTCTTCCTTTTCTCTTTTCTCACTGCCTCACTCCCCTTGTTCTTCCAGGTATTCCACTAAGCAGGAAACAAGTGCCCTTGGGTGTTAAGGCAACAGAGTGTGAAGAGCCAGGACTGCCCAGATCCAGTCCCAAAGGTGGACCAAAGGGAGTTTTAATGTGCATGGTGCCCTGGCTGACTGATTGTCTTGTTTATAACAAACAAGTGTCTTGGCTTTTTTCCTCATATTTTTTTGTTTTTGTTTTTGTTGTTGTTGTTGTTGTTCTTTCTTTTTTAAAAAAATAAGATTTATTTATTTATTTAATTCCATTTGTTATTATTACTATTTTTAATTTGACCAGAGACAGAGAGAGAGAGAGAAAAGGGGAAAGTGAGAAAGCAAGCCACCAAGTTCTGGGACTCGAACCATGACCAGCCATATGGGAATACAGGGCCTTTAACAACCAAACCACCTGCTGGCCCCTTCCTGTTTTGTTTTGTTTTGTTTTGTTTTGCTATCGGGTGCATGTGCTCACCAGAAAGACAGAGAGACAGAAAGCGAGAAATCACCCCTGTTATGTGTATAAGGAAAGGCTCGAGGAAGACGCTAGGAGGCCTAGGAACCTTAAAAAATGCAGCATTATCATACTGCTTAGTATAAAATGATCTGATGCTTAAGAGTAATCTGAGACTCTATCTGAAATATGTAACAGAAGCTCAGATTTGAAATGAAGACCACGATCGGAAAAATGTTTTTCGTATTTTAGTTTTGCCTCAGGTCTCTCTCAGCAACATCTAGTCAAAACCTCTCTTCAAACAATTTTTTAAAAGTGTCTTGCTGCTAAGCCTGCGGCGGCAGGAGGCCGGCGGGCGCCAAGGCTGCGTCCGACCGCGGGACGTCGCGGGCCCTTCCGGGCTGTGCGTGTCCCCCCTGGGGCCCTGCTAAGCCGG